CTTATTGACTGACTTTGAGTTCAATGCACGGTTCTTTCACGTTACTACCGAGACCGAAGGCAGCAAGAGGCGATGAACTGCACCTCCAAATGTGAATTAAGACGCCAAACTGAGGAGCTACCGCCACATGCAAACAGTGACATGGGGAGATCAGGAGGTTGACCGACATGTCAATGTAAAAAAAAAAACTTAAATGACACTAAAAACTTAAATATAGCACTTAAAAATAAAACAGGAAAAGACAAATCTCATACATATAATGATGACAGCACACAAACAACTGACCCCCATAGGTTCTGTATCTTGGTACACATTCACATTATGAAGCAGCTACAATCTCATGACAGTTTCCGATACTCACCAGAACTGCTTAACAAAGAACTCTTTTATCCCCCCAGACGTCTTTAATACTGCTAGAGTAAAGACTATCACATTATCTCTCTAGCGGGAACTGTCCAGGAAAACAAAAGCCCTGTTTTTCAGAGAGAAAGAGGGAGAGACTTTTACGCTGTAGTTGCAGCCATATTTAATGCTTTTAGTCGGGAGGGGAGTGGAGGCAGAAAGAAGCTACACATGGCACATTCTCATCCAGTAAATGTAAAAAGTTACAAATAAACCTAATTAATAAATACAGTTTTTAAAAGGCTTCAGTAAGGAGAATTAAGTATGCTAAAATCATTACGGATAACACAAAGTTCTCCCTTGCTTTAAAAAAATATTTACAGATCTTTACCCAATCTGGGCATAATGCTACATGTGAATGGAGCTGAGATATTGTATAGAATTTCCCTAAGAAAGTAAAGCAGCACGTCTTTCTAATGCTGTCGATTCTGGCTTGAGTCACAAGAGTCCTGGGCTTTTAATCGCTGTCGTCCTCCGGTTCCGACGCGTCTTCCTCGTTGTAAATCTCCTTGATGAGCAGAATACGGGCGAGAATGTTCTCCAAGGTGCTTCTTTCCAAAGGTGTAGTGCTGTACCACAACGGGCTCTCCGGACAACTGGAACTTTCGGGTTTCATATAAAACGTGTCTGTTCTCTGTTTAAGACTTCCTGGACTGGA